CGCATTAACATCACTGCTGCCTCCGGCACCGGTTCTGATCCTGAAGCGACTCCTTCCAGACGCCGCTCCCGCACCAGAGGCCGAGCCCGCGGTCCTCAGCAGCCATAGTTTTAGTTTGCTTATGTTTGTTTTTCGTCTTTGTCGTTGTACTGTACTTTTACCGCATTTATATCACAACATTGGGGACAATGTCTGATATAGTGTGGGAGAGGTACCTTTCATTTCCGCATTTTCCCTTTTTCGCACTTTTCCATTTCGTTGTATTTTCAATTTCGTTGTATTTCTTTTCGCAAGTTAATGAAATGAGCAAATCTTTGTGCTATTTTCTTTAATTTCGAACTTTCCCCGATTATTTAGCTATACCAGAAAAAATCTTTAATTATTCGCATTACCCGACTTACCTACGGAATCGTAATTAGGAAGCCGAGAACGATTAAACAAGACCAATACAATCTTGACATCTTTGACTCCCTACTTAAGCAATTCCATCCCGATTACCATTACGAGTACACTTTTAGTTTCAGTTCAAAAGTAACCCCTAGTAGTTTATACTAGCAGTCAGCACCGTCTGAACACAAACCATGTGGGGAGCCGATGAATATAAGCGTTTGATGCCTAATCAACAATGATCCTTCATATCTCGATGCAAAATGAAAAGAAATTGAAAAAGAAATTGCACCAAAGTACACGGTCGCATATAAGAAACGAGAAATATGAGAAGGAGTCCATTGCAAGTTGGTTCAGAGGTACTGGTTCTGAACTCGGTAGGGCGTGCTACGGCTCGATCCCCCACAACCTCCAAATCGGATAAAATATGTAGGGTTACCACGCTCGTGTACCAGACCCCGTGCTCAAAAAGGATCAAAGTCGCTAACCGGCTACTCCACTACGTGCGTGCTAAGGCAAAGGGCTTAATGTGATTGCGCTAGAATGAAACCGGGCGAAATAAGATCGAAAAACTCCAGGTGAAATCGTAATGTAATTGCCGATTGTTTCGTTTAACGGGAAGTCGACGACATAGCTTGTTGCTTGTGTCATTAGTGTATCGGTAGTGTTCTATCAAAGTACCGGATTATCCGATAAAACGATCCCTCGTACGGTTTGTTATGAGTATGCGTGAATAAAATCTTGTCCGCCGATTTTCAACCGACTATTTGCTTGAGGACAAGCAAAGGTTTAAGTTTGGGGAAGTTTGATAACGAGAAAACGCATCGATTATATTGCTAGGTTTCATTAACGTTTTATCGCATATTCACCGTTTTAACACTCGATTTCTCGAGTTTTTCTTACCATTTTGCAGGTACATCATTATATGGAGCTAAATCATGAATTAAGAGCAAAAGGAACAAAAGAAACCATAAAGAGATGAAGAAATGAAGAAGCCTGCAAAAGACTGCATAATTTGTTGCAGTCACGGCCGTCACAAGGGTGTCACGACCGTGACACCCCAATTTGAGCCATCACGACCGTAAGAGAGTGGTCATGACCGTGACACTTAAAAACCACAAGTTACGAACGTGAAGACCTTGTCACGACCGTGACAAGGGTAAAATTAGGTTTTTGACTCAGACTACGTCAAGGCATTACGTGAAGACCATTTCTCCTATTCTGTTGTCACGTTCCTGCATTCCTTCCACAAATTCAGCAAGGCCCATGCAACAAAGGTCCAAAAATCTAGCCCATTAAGGATTCTATAAATAGTACAAGTTCTATGAACAAAGGACACAGAGCATTTTTTATTCAAATTCCTGCGGAAGCTCTGCCGAACTCTATTACGAACCAGCCTTTATATTCCTGCATTATTTTTAGTTTTCTGTTTCGTTTTTTATTGTATCCAAACCCGCCATATAACAATTTCCAACATCAGGAGATTGTTATACATTTATTTGTTTCTAAACCTTCAGCATTCGTTTATTTTCAATTTCCGCCAACTCCAAGCTTTCCGGTCTGTGGAAGAAGGAGTCTGCTCGAATATCTGTTAACCAGGTTTTTCATTATATTGCAATTTAATTTAATTATAATGTTTATTTATTTTTCTGCCATGAGTACGTTATTATTAAATTTTTTGTCTCTGTCTGGTTCAACATCGATGAGTAGCTAAACACCTTAGGGCGGTATGTAGTTATAACAAACTTAACCGGTAAAATATAACCATAGGCTAAAAATAATTAATCACTTAACATTCTGGCTGATACTTTTTAATTGAAATAGACCTTTTCGTTACGAGAGTAAGAAAAGAGTATTAGGTTAGGTCAAGACCACGAGAGTGTGAGATTTTAACCAGATAGCTAAAGTTAGGCATTTAAATTAAACACAGCGAGAGCGCTTTAAGATAAATTAGAATTACTTAGTTTCCAAAAATTACCTCTAAACACTTATGGGCTAGCGAGAGCAGGCATAGGGCTTTAGGGATAAGATCTGATATAAGACCACGAGAGTGTGAGTTGAGGGTATTTAAACTGGTAACCTCTACCGAATAGATTAAGTGAACACCTTTATAAGCCTAGGTTAGATTGACCCACCTAAGTTAGTATAATTACATACCGACCGCCTTAGTATTACTTTATTAAAACTTAAATTTAATCCCGCCTTTAATAGTCTTAAAAATCAACAAAAAATCGTGACAACCATTCGCCTTAGCTAAACTAGAAGTTCATCTAGCACTAAGTAACCATAGAATTCCTGTGGATCGATAATCTTAAATATTACTTCGATAGGCTGTGCACTTGCAGTAAGATACCGCTAGACGCATAAGTAGACACGTCTTTAGCCCATCAATCAGCTCCAAGTAAGATGGAAGTTCATTTTTATAATTATTGGTCGCATGTGAGACACTTTATGTTGTGTATATCCTAATGTAGATGATTATTTACTTGTAGCTGAATGGTGGAAGTCATATGGAGTCAAAACTCTGAATTTGCAATTATTGGTGGTTAAAGTGTTGAGTTTGAGTTGTAGTTCTTCTGAATGTGAGTGTAACTAGAGCATCTTTGAGCATATAAGTATTAAATTTTTACTAGAATATTAAAGTATCTTACATTCAAGTATTATTAAATTAATATTTCAAATTATTGTATATTAGATTCATCCAAGAGAAATAAGTTGGAGCATCAAAGGTTTCGAGCCTTGGTTTTCATCGAGTATAACCAAGCTTTAATTGAAAGATTTGAAATTCGGGACAAAATTGATCCTATGATTTTTGGCGAAGTTAATTATCACGTTGAATGGTTCGTGGGAGAGATGGGAGTGATATGAAAGATGGTGAACCTTTAGAAGAAGACTCGGTTCATGAAAATGATGATTTAACTTGGTCTCAGATTGCTGATATAAGTGGAGTTAATGAGTTTGTAATCTACATTATGAGGTCAACACAACTTGAAGTTGCAAGTACATCTAGGGCAATAATGGCACGACGAGTGGTGGTAGAAGATGTTGATGAAGATGAAGAATTGGAGAAATATTTTGATGACTTATGAAGAATACCTCTTTCATGATGATCTATGATTTATATATTTGTTTAAATTTTCATATAATAATACTAAGTTTAAATTTTAAGACGTGATGTTTGAAATCTTCTATTATGTTTTGAATTTTTTATAATGTTTTGAATCTTGATTAAGTATTATTTTTTGACATTAAATTTTATAAATTTTTTTAGTGTTGTATTAGTATTTGTTTAGTTTTACATTAAGTATATAACATGTTTTATAAATTATTATATAATTATTAGTAAAAAGAATATTGCACTATCCACTGTCCCATTTTTAAGGTCTGACGCTCTGTTCCCTATCCGAAATTAATAACTTTCGTACCAACCATAATTTTGCTCACCTATCCCACCACATGCGTACATGCCTTGACACTTCATAAGGTCACAGTTCAAAACACAAATCTCAGTTCCAACAACTCATCTGAGAAGAAACCAATAGTTTTAAAAATTAATTTGTTTAATCTAAAAGGCAAGAAATTAATGATTAATACTCCTTCCGCTTGATTAATTCAGTTCATCATTTCACACAAATTAAAAAAATATATAATAATAAAAGAAAGAATGATATTTTTACCAAAATACTCATTATCAAATATTAAAAGTGATAAAAATAGTAATAATTAAATAATAGAATTGAAAGAAAAAAATAAATTAATTTACATTGTAAATTAAAATTGATCATTTATTTTAAGACATTTTTACTTTAAATAAATCACTCATTGTAAAATGGATGGATTGAGTAAGACGCAATGTATTAAGCCACAGTTCCTATTATGGACATGGTGTTCGCTTCAGTTTTTGGAGTAAGATGAAATTGAGCTTGAGAGTTGAGACCAGAGGGAAAGCCTTGCAAGATCAGTTGTTGAGGTGTGATTTTCGTGGCAGCTGTGTAAGGACGAAACCATGAAACTGTGTTTTGGACTACTTGGTCCTTAAGCTTCATTGCTAGTACTACACACAAGCTTCAACATCTTATATCACGAATAACACCGTACTTTTACATTTTAATTATGAAAGTTGTTTGAAATTTTGGTTAAGATGTCATAAAACAATTCGTCTATCTTTTATTGATTCAAGAGTAAAGAAAGGGCAAGTGCTGTGAAAGGAACACAACACTAATGAAGGAAGAGGCACCAAATTTGTAGTAAATTCAAGGTTTGAATAAAAAGTAAAGCATGATGAATGGGCAATAGCATAGATCTGATTTAGCTGCGTCGCTGCTGTGTACAGAACAAACTCCAAAATGACAGAATTTGGGTAATGCAAGAGTATATCCTCGGCCAGCATCACTAAAATCGCTACTAATATATATAATTAAACGATACACGAACAAAAAACCCTAACTGGCTGAGCATGGAGAGATTAACTTACACCTTAATAATACAGACGGTTCTAATGTCAGTCCTCAATAATGCATGTTAGCATTTTAGACTTGACCTCTAGACACTAAACTCTGAACAATCATCCAACAAATACCCTGCATCTGCACTGTTAATCCGAAGTCACGTCTTCACTGATGATTTTGGCCAGCCCATAGTGGATGGTGGTACATCTGCTGCTGCATATTATTATGAACAGGCTGATTAGCATTGTTGTAGAGTGCAGGCCCCCTACTAAAATTACTATTATGATCATTTTCCTCTGAGGACTCAGTTGAAGGCCCTTGAGAAGTAGGACTGGTTGGAGTTGTAGGTGCACCGAAGTTCAACATTTGGGAAGTTGGTGCTGAAGAAGGCCCAGATTTCACCATACTTGAGCTTGACTTTTTCAGATCCATAATAAAGCTACCCACAATGACCTATTAATGATTAGAAGTATCAGATTTGGTTAATCATGTCATACATGCATAAAAGGCTTCCCAGTAGTTATATACAAGAAGTTGTATACACTATGTGCTTTGATAAATTTATATGGGCAAATTTCATGACAAGTCTATTCTAACCGGTTGACACAAAAAATCAGACCCTAGACTTTAGAGCCATACCTGTATCGTTGAGGCTGCAATTAGCACTCCAGCAACTGCACCACCCAAAACTCGTCCATCAGCCCCTGCAAGAGAAACGTATAAACTGCTTGGTCTGCTATGCTCACCACTGTTTTCAGATAGGTGCATATCACCTGATAACGATATGATCTCAAATTGGCCCTGCAGTACAACATGAAGTTTTGTGAAGAGAATTGAATATGAAGACATTGATATTTAATTATAAACTCAACCACAAGTGTCTAAACACACCGAAAAGTAAAAGATACCGTTGAACTTAATTCCGTATTAAGGAAAAAAAATTCACCAATATTATTTTGCAACTTTTTACCAATGTTGTCAAATATCAATAACAGATCACTAAAAAACCGATATGTGAAATATCAGATTGCGTAGCAGGCAAATGGCGGAAGCCGCAAAGCAATTAAAATAAATATTTAGATAGAAAATAAAACATGTCACACACAAATAAAAGCTACATAAACATATATTTAAAAAAATTGGACATTAAGGGTGTGTTTGGTTCGGGGTAGATGGAGGGGAGGGGAGGGGAGGGGAGGGGAAATTTTTAGTTAAATATGTTTGGTTCAAATTTTAGGAGGGGAGGGGAGGGGAGGGGAGGGGAGCAAAATCCCTCCAAAACACACTTTTTGGTTCCCTCCGAATTGGGGGGATTTGGAGGGGAGGGGAGGGAATATGAGTTTTAATATTTAAAAATTATTATATTTACTAAAATATCCTCAGTTTAGTTTTATTATTTTAAAACTATTTGTTATCTTTTGTGTTACTGTTTTTTCTCGATTGTTTTCATCAACTTATTATAATTGTTCTCCACCTTCAAATTATTTTATAATTTTTATAATTAATATAAATCATAATCATTGTCTTTTTTTATAAAAAAAATTATGTTTCGTTATATTCGTTTTTTTCTTTTAATTTTGTTATGTACTCTATCATATTTTCTTTTATATCAAATTGTAAACCATATCATTTTATTTATTTTTGTTTATTCATTTTATTAAATATTTTGAACCATTAATATTTAGTAATAAGTTATTTTATATATTTGTTTTGTTATATGATTCATCACAATTTAAACGATGTTATTGGCATATAGTTTAATTTATGTTGAAAAGTTATAAATCGAATCAATTGTACTCAATTTTTTAACTTTATGTGACAAATAAATATTTTTTTAATCACTCAATATTAGAAATTTTATTACCAACAAAAATACGCACGAATTTTTCACATTTTAATATCATATGACTTATATAAGATCATAAGGATAAAAATGTAAATTATTAATAAAACCCCTCCCCTCCCCTTCTGAACCAAACACATTTTTAATTAAAATCCCTCCCCTCCCCTCCCCTCCTCTCTTTTGAACCAAACACTTATTTGATTAAAAAATTCCTTCACCTCCCCTCCCCTCCCCTCCCCTTCATTAAAATCCCTCCCCTCCCCTCCCCCTCATTTGAACCAAACAGACCCTAAGCTGAAAATTTCAAATTCCAACAACTAAAACAGAAAGCTAAAAACAAAAATTAAAAATGAATTAAAACTCAAAGTTAAACAGAAATTAAAAATGAATTAAAACTCAAAAAGTTAAACAGAAATTAAAAATGAATTAAAACTCAAAAAGTTAAGTTCTTCTGAGTCTAGCTAGTGTTAAAAGATCTAACGATTAACTAGTAATAGTTCTTCTAAGTCTAACTAGTTCAAACTAATAACTAATAGATCTTCTGAGTCTAACTAGTGATAAATCAGAAAGCCAAAGAATGAACGAACAGGAAGAATGAACAGGTATATATAATAGTAATACACATGCACAGACTCAATAGCACACACGTTTTACTTTTTCAATGTTCCAACTCTTAACATTTTAATTTTTTAATGATCTTTTCTCCACCTCTTCACATTCTACTTTTTCCACCTCTTCACATTCTCCTCTTTAATGTTTTTTAATATAATTTATTATAAATAATAATAATAATAATAATATTCAATTCATAACCGGTATACCGGAAAAGCGCCGATATCTTGAGCATCGCGAAATTGAAATGCTATATCGACTTTTGTATCAGATAGCCAAAATTCCGATACGCAATACCAGTATACCGACGCTATACCGGATATTTAACAACACTGCTTTTAACACACATTGATTAAACAACAGTAACTTCCTGGATTTGGAAAGGATGAAGGAAGAAAGTGTAAGTTACACAGTTGGTTTCTGTTCAATGAATGGCAACACATGGGATAAAGGAATATCTTCATATACAGTAGAAAAGCTAAGAAACTAAGGAGATTGAGAAGCCATACACATACACCTATCCACGGTCATCCAATCATCACTGTTGAGAACCAGCTCACCCAGAACCTCAAGTTAATATATGATGGATGCATAATTTAATAATTCTGAACATAGAAAACATGAAGACAGCTAGCAACACACTCTTTTAACACATTTTTCTCAACACATTAATTAGCTGAAATCCCAATAGGTCTCACTAGATCATGTAGGCGTCACATAAATTTATTGAGGCTGTTAAGAGTCCCACATCGGACAATATATGGCATAAACATGTGTTTATAAGTGGGAGCAATCCTCACTCTACCAACTGGTTTTGTAGGGTTGAGTTAGGCCCAACCACATTTCTTAACATGGTATCAAGAGCCTCGTTTAAGATCCGGTGGGCCACCTTCTATGGTTTCCACTATCGGGCCACCCACCATTTATTTCCACGCTTCAGTTGTCCAGTCCTGAGCGTGAGGGGGGTTTTGTAGGATTGAGTTAGGCTCAACCACATTTCAGTTGTCCAGTCCTGAGCGTGAGGGGGGTTTTGTAGGATTTCAATTTCAACCAATTAAAGAGTGTTGCTAGCATTATTTGTATAGACAATGCCACGGCTAGTTTTATCATGAGCTGAAACTCAACAGTAATTTTAAAGAATGATGACCACAAAAACTGAGCTCTTGATCATTAGGTTAAGAAGGTAGACCAACTCTCCCAAAAGCTTATCCTTGACACCACCATTCTGATATGGACCTCTAATTCTGCTAATTAAGATTAATTGTGCTAATTAGAATTAATTATTTTGTTTACTTTTAATAAGTTAGCATACCTGAATTTTTAAATTTAAATTTTAATATTTTAATAAGTTAGCATACCTGAACTTTTAAATTTGAATTTTAATACTTTTAGGATAAGGATTAGGGCTTAGAACACAATTTACTTATTAAATAGAATTATTATTATTTAAGTTTAAATGATAATTTTAGGGAGAATTATTATTATTTAAGTTTAAATGATAATTTTAGGGAAACGTAGTTTCCGGCCTAATTTAATTGGGACTCTTCTATTCTAAGCCTATATAAAGGTATTATACTACTACTACAACAACAACAAAACTTTATCCCACTAGGTGCAGTCAGTTACATGGATCAACTCTCACCATAATGTTCTATCCAGGACCATGCTTCTATCCAAATTATTAATCTCGAGGTCTTTCTTAATAATTTCTCCTATAATCTGTCTAGGTCTTCCTCGTCCTCGAATTGTTTTCCTTCTCTCCATCTGGTCTACTCTCCTCACTACAAAATCTACAAGTCTTTTCTCTACATGCCAAAACCACCCAAGTCTATTTTCCACCATCTTCAATACTATATGTGTTACCACAACACTCTAATATTTTCGTTTCTAATTTTATTCTGTCGAGTCTTACCACATATCCACTGCAACATCCTCATCTCTACTACACTTACTTTAGACTCGTGATGATTCTTAGTCGCCCAACATTCTATCTCGTACAAAATCGCAGGTCTTACCACAGTCCGATAAAACTTTCCCTTCAACTTGAGTGGTACCTTTGCATCACATAAAACACCTGATTCCTTTCTCCATTTCAACCACCGGGCTTGAATTCAATGGTTTACATCCCTTTCTATTTCTCCATTATTTTGTATTACGAACCTAAGATATTTAAACTGTGTGATTTGAGGGATAATATGGTCTCCAACTTTCACCTCTAGATTAGAAATGTTTCTTCTTTTGTTGAACTTACATTCCATATACTCCGTCTTACTTTTGCTTAAGCAAAAACCATGTGTTTCTAAAGTTCGTCTTCAAGTTTCCAAACTCATTTAAATCCTCTTTCGACTTTCCAAGAAGGACTATATCATCTGCAAAAACCATACATCTCGGTGCTAGCCCTTGGATATGTTCCGTGAGTACATCTAAAATTAAGATAAAAAGGTAAGTGTTTAGAGTAGAACCGTGATGCAAATCAATTGTAATGGGAAAATCATCTGGCACTCTACTCTGTGTTTGAACACTAGTTGATACCCCTTCATACATATCTTGGATAGCTTGAATATATGCAATCCAAATCTCTTTCTTCTCTAGGATTTTCCATAGAATCTCTCTAGGCACTCTATTATACACCTTCTCCAAGTCAATAAAAATTAAGTGTAGGTCTTGTGGTCCATCTGATACTGCTCCATCACACGCCTTAATAAATAAATCGCTTCCATGGTCGACCTTCCTAGCATAAAACCAAATTGATTCTCACTGACTTTAAGTCTCATCTCTTAATCTCCGTTCAATCCCCTTATAGTTTGCGCACTTTTGTATCTTGGAAAAGGTAAGGGCTTAGAGTAGAACCATGATGCAAACCAATTGTAATGGGAAAATCATTTGGCTCTCTCTCTCTACTCTGTGTTCGAACACTAGTTGATACCCCTTCATACATATCTTGGATAGCTTGAATATATGCAATTCAAATCTCTTTCTTCTCTAGGGTTTTTCATAGAATCTATCTAGGCACTCTATTATACACCTTCTCCAAGTAAATAAAAATTAAGTGTAGGTCTTGTTGGTCCATCTGATACTGCTCCATCACACCGCACGCCTTAATAAACAAATCGCTTCCATGGTCGACCTTCCTGTCATAAAACCAAATTGATTCTCACTGACTTTAAGTCTCATTTCTTAATCTCCGTTCAATTCCCCTATAATTTGCACACTTTTGTATATCCCCTTTGTTCTTATAGATTGGAACTAAAATGTTTCTGCTCCATTCATCTGGCATGCATTTTGACCTCATAATTTCATTAAAGAGTTTGGTGAGCCACTCAATACCTCCATCTCCAAGAATTTGCCACACTTCAATAGATATGTTGTCTGGCCCAACCGCCTTACCGTTACTCATTTTTTTCAACGCTTCCTTTACCTCTTGTTTTCGAATTCGACGATAGTAATTATAGTTTTGATCCTTTTCTCTAACGTGGAATCAGCTAGAGTCCTGTAAGATATTATAACCTTCATTAAATAAATTGTACAAATATGTCTTCCACATATCCTTTATATCTTTTTCCTGAATCAAGACTTTGTCTTCTCCATCTTTAACACACTTCACTTGATCCAAATATCTAGTCTTTCTTTTTCTTCCCTTAGCAAGCCTATATATAGATTTTTCTTCCTCCTTAGTTCCTAGAGATTGGTATAATCTGTCAAAAGCTTGGGTTCTTACTTCACTCACTGCCTTCTTTGTCTCATTCTTAACTTTCTTATACTTTTCCCAAGTTTCGGAATTCTTACACCTAGACCACTCTTTAAAACAGACTTTTTTTACTTTTACTTTACACTATACACTTCCATTCCACCACCATGATTCTTTGCCACTACCATATGACTTCTTCTCTTTGCTCTCCCCTTAATTCTTACATCCATAACCAAAACTCTATGTTAGGTAGTCAAGCTCTCTCCTGGAATAACTTTACGGTCCAAGCAAATCTTCCTATTTGACTTCCTGATAAGAAAAAAAATCTATTTGAGAAAATGTCACCCCACTTTTATATGGGATAAGATGATTATCTCTTTTTCTAAACCATGTATTTGCTATAGTAAGATTCAAAGTCGACAAAAACTCCAAGATGGATTTACCCACCGTATTCACCTCCACTAGGCCAAAACCCCATGCACACTCTCAAAACCTCTTGCTACCCTACCTACATGTCCATTGAGATCCCCTCCAAGAAAAAGCTCTCCTTAGGGTATATCCTGAAGTAAGCCTTCTAAGTCCTCCCAAAATTTTACCTTAAGGTGTTCTGACCTAACTTGAGGTGCATAAGCACTAACAACATTAAAGGTGTCTTGTTCTACTACAAATTTCAAAGCTATGATTCAATCTCCTACTCTTTTTGTTAAGAAATGTGGTTGGGCCTAACTCAACCCTACAAAACCGGTTGGTAGAGTGAGGATTGCCCTCACTTATAAACACATGTTCATACCATATATTGTCCGATGTGGGACTCTTAACACACCCCCTCACGCTCAGGACTGGACATCTGAAGCGTGGAAATAAATGGCGGGTGGCCCGATAGAGGAAACCATAGAAGGTGGCCCACCGGATCTTAAACGAGGCTCTGATACCATCTGAGAAAATCTTCGTAGCTTGGCGTAGGGTTCTGAATAGAAGGTGAAGTCTGCATAGTTTCTGAGTTATCACTTTGAGCTGCATTTACCTGGCGTGGGGGTTTGCCATGTAGCTTCCAACAACGGTCGATAGTATGTCCAAGCCGGTTACAATGGTTACACTTGGGACGAGGTTTGGAGTTGGATGACCCTTCTCGAGGACGACTCTGATTGTTGCCCAGAGATGCGAGGGCAGCAGTGTCACCTGGTGTAGCAACAGTAGATGGAGGGGAAACCGGACCAAACGCATGAGGTGTAGCCAAGCGCAACAGTTGTTCACTAACTGCATCATAGTTAGGAACAGTAGTACCTGATAAAATCTGGTTACGAACGGAGTCGAGTTCGGATGGTAGTCCTTTAAGTGCCATCACCATGAAAAATTTACTCTGTTGTTCGGCATGAGCTGTTGCGTCTTTTGCGTACGGCATGAGGGTTGCGTAACTTGCTTTCAAAGCATCAAGGTTACTCAGATAGGTTTGCATATCCATATTTTCCATCTTTAGTGTGTCGAGTTTGAGGATGACACTGTATAGACAATGAACGTCGTTGGAGAAGACTTTCTTGGCATTTTTCCAAACTTCATAGCAAGTGGAGAAGGCTTGATACTGTGCTTGGAGGTTAGGTGCTATGGAGAACCATAACACGGTAAGGAGAGAGGCATCTGTTTTCTTCCATTTACACGAAACCACATATCGACAGCACGCGCCCATATGTTATAGTTTGCTGATTGTTAATAGGCTCTAGATACCATGTTAAGAAATGTGGTTGGGCCTAACTCAACCCTACAAAACCGGTTGGTAGAGTGAGGATTGCCCCCACTTATAAACACATGTTCATACCATATATTGTCCGATGTGGGACTCTTAACACTTTTCACATCCCCAATATCCTTCTTCAACTAAATACTTGTAAATTCAAGAAGAGACTCTATCAAGTATAAGTCTACTTCTGTCTTCGCCATAGGCCGAAGGAAACTTTTTACCGCGTCTAGGATTGTGTCAACATGATCGCAGGCAAGGAACCATGGGTTACGTGAATTTAGCATCAATTATGAAGAATTTCGTGAAACAATCGAACAAATGGCAACCAAACAGACTTCTCTAGAAGAGTTGATAGCTAACCTCTCCGTTATTGTTCAAGGAGCGAATAAAGGTTAAAAAAAGATAACTCAAGAGAATTGGGTACCCATTTTGGTGGTTGAGGCGTTGTGATAGATTTTTTCAAAACTAAAGAATTGTTGAAGGAGACAAAGTGAGTTTAGCAGTGTTTTATTAAATAGGAGACGTGCAATTATAGTTCAATCAAATGGAGGAAGAAGAACCTGGAATACTGTGGGAACACTTTAAAGAATGTTGTCATTTACTGTTCACACCACCTATGAGCAATAATATATTGGGAGAACTCGCCAACTTCAAACAAACTAGATTTGTGGAAGACTATCACCGTCAGTTTCAATCCTTGCTTGCCATAACCGATGATCTTAAGCCTAGAAAAAAAGTGGGTTTATTTACTGTTGGTTGGTCGATGAATTGAAGATAGACATTGAACTTCAACAACTAGAAAATCTCAAAGTTTCTATGAATATGGATCGAGCACTTGAACGCAAACTAAAGTGCTCAGAGTGACTGCTTATGGATGAGATAATATTAGTATAAGCGTCAATAATTGTTCTGCTATTTCAAACCAAAAAGTAACTTACCCCAAGTGTTCGATGACAAGGCCTTACCTACTCCCAACACAGCTCTTTATAGTAGAATAAATAAGACATTAAAAAATTGTTAATCGAGTGGGAAAGATATACTTTGAAAGGTGAAACATGGAAACCTTTTGATCAGATTCCTGAGACTTATCCCAAACTTGGGCTTGAGGATAAGCACAACATCAAAAATACTTATGAATTCAAGAAGATACTATGTCACTGACGAGCCCGCTCTTGCCTTCACCATAGGTGGAAGGAAAGCTTCTACCACGTCCACGTGTAGGACTGTGTCAACACAATTCCAAGCAAAGGACCATAACACATTCTTCTGAGGTTAATGAGGACTACTACAAGAAGTCAAGGCCATACTAAACACTCCAGAGAAACCATGTCGAATTCATATAACCTTACTTAATTACCTTCATGTTTAACAACCTAAAACTTAGGTCCTCCGTTGAGGGATCAATATTAGACATGCATTGAAAAACACAAAAAGTACTTTTGTGCAACAAGCTCCTCAAATTTTGTGTAGATCCTTGCAACGCAGTCAAATTTCCTCTAAGAAGCTTTATTATTGGGCTGTGACATGCTCATTATAAGATCCCAGTTCCATTCACAACAATAGAAACAGAAGTTCAAAAGCACCTTTTCCAGGTAAAGATAGGTTTAAAAAGAAAAGATAAAAGGGCAAAAAAAAAAGACCACTACTTTATGCACTGGTATAATAATGAAAGCATCCATCCAAAAGTTATGTATGATAACGTATAAAGTAATAAACAAATATCGATTACATTTTTAATGAATATAAACTGTACCTCGTATCTTGCAATACCACCAGATGGCTGTCGAAGGGTTGCACTGCTGACTGCACCATTGGCAGAAAGAATACAAACTGTTCGAGGTCCTGATTGAGTAAAGGCCATAACTTTTTCTGTAATGTCCTGCAAACAACAGAAGTATACTGGTGAGAATTGCTAATAAAAAGTGGAATGTATACAAACCCTACTGATGGTAACTTAAAATAATAGATTTAAACCAAGAACAAACAAAATATTTAGCTGCTTGAGCAAAACAGAAACTGCAAGCAAATGCTATAAGTTACTTACTTCCTTTCAGAGTGCGACTCTATGCAATAATGTTAATTAATAATCTCAAAATCACTATTCAAAACAGAAGCTATATAAGAAATAAATACACCCCTTAAATTCTCAAATAGATTAAATAAGATACCAAAACTAAAACACACTACACAGCAACAAACATAACGAATTTGATGAACTCGATGATAGATGGCTTATTAAGTGGAGTGGCTACAGAACAAGGCACTGATAGCAATTCTGCATGCAATAAAGGAAAGCTTTTAGAGCTATATAGAACATTAAAAGGAACGGCGTGAACATAAAGACAATCTGTATGCAGAGTATAACTAGTTGAACAATGCTGATTTGACACTATTTCCATCACCATAAGGATTAAAATCCCTAAAAAACACCTCAGAGCAAAACCATTGAAGTTAGTCTCCAACAATATAAATAAATACATTTAAATAAATGACAAGCCAATAATCATCACAAGATTGTCTTCGTAAGTTACAATAGTGGTAACAGCAAAAATTCCATCCCGCAGTTCAAATCCTTTCGTTCCCGCTATCAACATAAAAACTAACAGTGCAATTTATACAGCTCTCACACCCATAACATTAACAAGAGTTATCAACTTTAGAGAGCATTCACATGAGATTAGATATATCCTCCCAACAAGTGACTCTATATTTGTCATGCAATGCAAATGTCACATGCAGAAGGTAAATCAAATGAGCCAAACCGAATATGCGATTTTTATGCTTCTTTTTCTTATTTTCTAAGTTTAGCAATAAAACCATTTCATCTAATGTTTATCTTGACCGGGATCTATTAACTTTACCTCTCTCTGAAATAGACTAATCAAAAAGTGTAATTTCAAAAATCAAGTCAGAAAAATTACCAACAAAAATGTAACAGCAATATAAACCAGAAATTGAATAAAATTACCTCACCAGACTCCACCAAGACTACGTGTGGAGTGAATCCAATCCCACCAGCTCCTTCAGAGAAGGACACAAAAGAAAAATAATCACAATCAGCTACATTCAAATAAGTACTTAAGTTAAAAACCAGAACAAAAAAAGCAATAACAAACAAGTACCAAGCGCATCTAACTGTTTCTTCCCAGAGCCGGGAGGTCTTCCTCTATGTTTCTTCGCAGGAGCCTCCGCGTTTCCTGAATCTCCAGCAGAAGCGGAGGTAGCAGCGGCAGGAGAAGAAACACGATTCGGAGCCAAAGCAAGGGCAATGTTACCGTCGGGGGAGTATTTCCTCGGCCGGCCCCGCTTTTTCTTGGCGAGGGTGGACGGCGAAGAAGGGCTGTCGTGAGTGACGGCGAACGGGTCCGATTGCTGCTGCGAGGTGAAAGGAAAACGAGCGGTGGCCGGAGACATGATGTTGGTGGTAGAGGAATTAGGGCTGATCATGGAGGTGTTAGTCGGAGCGTAAGATGTGGGTCCCACCATCATGGTTGGTGGTGGTGGAGGTGAGCGGGAATCCATTTTGGTGAATGCGGGTTGGTTGGATCAGAAAGGAATGCGATTGATTGATGCGATGAGAGTTGGTGGTGTGAGTTTTTCTTTCTTAGTTCTGTGCGTAAGAGAGAAAGAGAAACAAGAAAAAGAGAAGAGAGAGTGTGCCTAACTTAACTTTTACTTTGGAAACATAATAACTAGAACTATAACTACAAGTACAACTATGTCAACTTGATCTTTATTTACTTCTTAGGGTTTTTTTTCTAACTTAAATCAACCCACTTTCTTTTCTCAATTATTGTTTTAATTTTTTGTGGATTTTTTTAAAGTGTTCTCAGATATTTTGTGTAAAAATGGAATAAATACTATTTACTAAAAATTACATATTTTAATGAGTATTTATTATTTAATTTTTAAAAAAATTAATTAGCTTATTTGATGTACTTGTTTAAAAAAATATAACGTTTTTGTTTTGATCGATAACATTTGTTTTATGAGAACAACTTTGATGCCATGCTAATATAACAATTTGTATACTTTGAATCAATCACAATTTTTTATTATTTGTGTGATTTTTATTATTTTAATTCTAATTTTAAATAAAAAAATATGATTTTAAGAAAAATATATTATATTTGGAATCAAAATTTGTCATTTTTAGGTCAAAAATATGAGTTGAAATTATTTTTTTAATAAATATGATATTTGATATATTACAAAGTTTAATTGTAAAATAAAATGTTGTTAGCTTAATAAAATAAAGGAATCAAAATTGCAACTAAGTCTTTTAATTAATATATGTAAATGAAGTGCATTAAGACATATGTTGTATTAGAATGCTCCATGTGTGGTTGATGTGCGTGACATATGTGTTGCATGGTAAACCACCATCATAATTAATATGTGTGATTAAGGAAGATTGATCCGCGGTCGCTCGCGGATCAAAACGGGTGTTTTTATAAAAATGCAGTACAGCGACAGTAACTCGGAATATCGTATCGCAAGGATTCTTATAGTGATTAACCAATAACAGTAATGAAATAAGGGAGGGTTTGGTTTAGATTTATAAAATAAGAGAGAGAAAATAATTAAAAAAAATAGTGATTATCAGATAAACTAAAACGGCTAATCCTACTGATTCGGGTTCCGACTTATCATCGGCTATTATAACATCAATCCCTAAGCGGCTCCAATCCTATTCGATTATGATATTAATCAGACAAGCTCTTATCAACATCAAATGAATTATGTTCCTGTTTATCGAATTAAGCAAACGGTTAAGAATATGACGAGTTAACGAATTAAGCAAACGATAACACGCAATTAAATTTAGGAACATGCATACAATCGAATTTAATCAATTTTATCCTATGAACAACAATCGAATTAAGCAAACAATTGCAATCAAATTAAGCAAATGACTTCATAGAAAAGGATTGAAAGGAATTGAATTTAAATTGGTATTATAATGACCTCAAAGTGATGAAACCGTACACAGCAGGATTTGCCCGTGGGAATTAGTTCTCCATAATTCGTACAAAACTCCAACAATAATTTTCGTGAATAGTGAATAGGGTTTTTTTGAATAGTAAACGAGTTCTTCTTAAAAGGACAACTAATGGATCCGGTTCAAAACCCAACTGGGTCGAAAATATAACCCAGGCCCAAAACATGACTCAAAACTAAATAATTTCCTTACGCTGCAACTTCCACGAATATTCTGGAATTTTGAGCTCCGAATCTGACTTCGACTCCAACATGAAAGTCGTAGCTCTCTCTCGTAACTTTCCGGCGATTTTTAGAACACCTCAAACGGATTCCCAGAACTCCAGTTATGATCGTTTCCGTGCAGACTGCTAAAGCTGAAAAATAAGTGCGAAAATTAAATTAAACTAAAAATAAAATAAAATATGAAAACATAATAAAATATAATAATAACCAAAATAAAATAAAGAAATGCCTAAGTAAAAAGTAGGAGAAATGTGCATAAATATGCCCTGATCAAATTCCCCCGGACTTGAACTTTTGCACTCCGAGCAAAATTAAAATAAAACAAAGAAAGTGCACACACATCAATAGCTACTCATTCCAGACTACAAGTCTCCTTCGGTTAAGTTTGCATCGATAGGTACTAATCTTACACACTAAGGATATCGTAGGAACACTAATCCACAATTGCGCGGTCATAAGACTCCCTCCTATACAAATCAATCCAAATCATGTCGTTATACCTAAGTCTAACTTACTCATCCTCTTTTTTCACTCTCTTTCATTCTAGTGCAATCACATTAAGCCCTTTATCTATTCACACACATGGTAACTGAGCTTATTAGTGACTATGATTCTTTTTTTTTCTCAACAATTTAGAATTAAACATTTTTTTTCTTTTTTTTCTTTTTCACTTTTTGTCTTTTTGTCTTTTTTTTCTTTCTCTTATTAAGCACATGATCATTCACTTATTTGCATCAGCTCAACTACTTAGCATGTGATTTCTAGATGGTGCTGACTGCTAGATAAACTACTTAAAAGCTATTAGAGGACGAGAACTCAAGACTATTCCATAACAAGTATCTAACTCGACTTCCATATTTGGGAGACTCAAGGTGTTAAAACGATATCGATCTTATGAATTGTTCCCAAGTCTCTGCAAACAAATCTCAAATTAGACTATAGCCCAGAACTTTCAAAAAGATGCAAAAAAAAAATTATTTTATTTTTATTATAATAACTGAAAAAACAAACAAAATAAAACAAAGGTCTCCCTCCCCCAGACTTAAAACAAGCATTGTCCTCAATGAAAGGACATAATTATTAAAGTAAAGAGAAAGGAAAGAACACACCCGAGGAGTCAAGGTGGATAAGTGATCACATAAGCATCCTTTCCCAAAGAAAGATCTTCTACATGCTCCTCTCCTAAAATGGAGATGTCATAAAGTAACTTTAGGTAACATCCATTGACCTTGAAATATTTATTAGTGCCTTCGACTCTTATTCCAGGATCAAAGAAGAATCTTTGATAAGTAAAATTGTCGAATGGGCACGTGAAAGTGGTCTCCTTTTCCATAACATCAAGAATCAAAGGATTAAGGGGCTGCCTCACCGCTTTTCTTCCATCTTCAATTGAGACCCTACGCATACTCATGGATGAGCTAAAATTACGAGTGTCAACCAAGGTCCACCCATTTCCATTCTTATGTTCCTGCAATAACTTTTCTTCCTGCTCGAATTGAAGTTTTGATAAACAATATAAATTCTCAGGAAGTGGTTCAGAAGGTGGTTGTTCAGTAGGATGTTTAGTTGGGACATCCGGGATGTCAAGAGCTTCAGCTGTATAAACAACTTCAATAACTCCATCTGTAGGAAAAATATTACCCTGCAAGACAGCCTCAATCTCAGAACAAAGGTAAGTTTCAATGCAATCATCATATGAGTAACTATCATCAAAATAAGACAATGGTGGAAAATCGGCTGCAAACAAATCAGTACAAGTATCATCAACCAACTCAGAAATCAATTCAATATGAAAAACAGAATGCTCTTCTTCCTCATCAATCTTCTTATTTTTCAGTACTCTATATGGAAAAGGAATTGGTGATACATACTCTTTTTCAGGCTCAACAACAATGGGAGGTTCAGGTTCAAGTCCAGGTGTAGGTTCAGGTGTGACCTCAACAACTTCTCTATTCTTTTCAAGGCCTGGTTCGGCAACTTTTTCAGATCTTAAGGATATTGCACTCATATTAGGATTAGTGACATTAGGATTTACTACTATTTGGGCAGGTAATTGGTTTGATCCTTGAGATTGTTGTATGACATTCATTGAAGCGGTAAGCTGTCCAATTTGTGCCTGTAAGGTCTGAATACTAGAATTTGTTCGTTGCTGAAATTGGAGATTATTTACAGCCATTTGCTTGACAAGGTCCTCTAGTGAAGGTCCGGAAGGTGCAGAGATGGTTACTTGTGGAGGGTTATGTGGTGGTGGTAATGTTAACATTAATTGTTGTTTCACTAAATGAGTAAGTTCATCAAGTCTGGTTTATAGAGCTTTATGGTAAGAAGAAACCTGAATCTCATTCACACCTTTTGTTTGGACAGAATTGTTTATAGTTGTAAATTGTTGGGAGTTGAGTGACATATTCTCAATCAAGGCTTTGGCAGCAGTCAGGGTCTTATCAAAAAGTGATCCACCACTAGCAGCATCTAAAATGTTTCTATCTATTGGTAGTAATCCCTCATAGAAATATTGGATAAGTAATTGTTCGGTAATCTGGTGTTGCGGACATCTAGACACTAATTGTTTGAATCTCTCCCAGTATTCGGACAATGACTCTATGTCAACCTGTCTAATACCACATATATCTTTTCTGATTGAGGCAACTCTTGAGGCAGGAAAGTATCTCTGTAGAAAGACTTTCTTCAAATCGTTCCAGGTTGTGATAGAATTAGGCTCAAGATAGTAAAACCAATCTTTGGCAGCTCCCTGTAGTGAAAGCGGGAAGGCTCTCAGCTTGATGTGATCTTCTGTGATTCCTTCAGGTCTCAAAGTTGTAGAGCACACAACCTGGAATTCTTTTAGATGCCTATAAGGGTCCTCACCTGCAAGACCATTAAACCTTGGCAACAAGTGTATTAAACCAGGTTTCAGTTCAAAAGGTACAGTAACAACATGATATTTAATACATAAATCATTATAATTCATATCAGGAGCAGCAAGTTCTCTGAGAGTTCTTTGATCAGCCATGTTATCAAAAAGGGAAAATAAATTAACAAATAATTAGAAATCACAAAACTAATTCAGCAATGCAGTAAACAATTTGAAAAATACCAATAATGTCCCTAATTAGAAAAAGAATGGAAAAATAGAAATTCGAATAAAATAAAATCTAAAAATTATGAAAATATAACTAAAAATCAAATCAAATCAAAATGAGTCAATAAAAAAAAATTCGGATTTTTTTAAAAATATGAAAATAGAAAACAAATCAAATAAAATAGAAAAATAACTAATTTGCGATTTTCAGGGTCAA